ACTAAGCTCAAATTGATTGTTGTATTTGGTCACAAATGACCTTATAAAGGATTTTCAACAAAAATTGGATGCCAATTTGAGGTCTAAGGCATTCAATTGTTGAATTTTGGGGTGTTAGCCAATTTTGGGGCTAATTTTAGGAATTTTGAATTTGGTCAAAATTAAATGGATTTGAGGTTTCATCAAGGCCTATTGATGGTTGATGTTGATGTGTAAGAATGTTTTAAGGATTTTGCAATATTAATTGAGGCCAATTGACTAAGCTATGGGTTCAATTGGGTGAGATTAAGTCATTTGGTCAAAATTGGGGGTTTTGACCCAAATCAAAATTGGGCTCAAATTATGGACCAATTGAGCTTGAATTTGGTTTAAATTGGTCACATGTAAGGTGAATTTGAATTTAGAATTGAAGTTGGGGGAGATTGGGTCCAAATTGATGGACATTTGAAGTAAATTTGGGGAAATTGGGCCTTTAAAGGTAATTTCAGGGGTTTTGGTCAAAATGGTCAAATTGATCAGATTGAATCCAATTGAAGGGTCCAAATGGATTTTGGAAACATTTGGAGTGATTTTGGAGGTTTTGGGAAAGTTTGGGGTGCCAAGGGTATTTTTGTAATTTTGGCAATTTTGGTGGTATTTTGGTTAAAGATGGCCAAATTGACCAAATTGGGCCATATGGTAGTTGAAAGAAATGAAATTGGGAATATTTGGGATTTATTGGGATTTATTGAGAATTTTATAGGATTTTTGGATTTTGGGTTAAAGGAAGGTCCTAAGGGCAGTTAGGTAATTTGGGAGTGTCTGGGGCAAAAGACCCAAGATTAGTATTTCAAGTAGAATTGGATATATATCCATTCTAAATGAACCATGGATCAATGAAGTCCCCATTTTGGGTTCTTATATATTGGTTTTAGCCAGGGTATTGTGAGGATATTGTGTACCCTAACTCCAAACCAACACCCAGGGTCAATCCTAAGGCCAAGTAATCCTATAGGGACTCTTCTTGAATTCTCTCATAACGATCTTAGCTACTAAATGCTAGAGGTTAAGATCAATATGTGGAATTTCAAGTTGAGTAATAAAGAAGTTTCTAGACCTTAACCAAAAGTGAGGTCAACAATACCCTAAAGGAGTTATAGAAGATGTCCTAGTGAAAGTGAATCAATTTATCTTTCCTGTTGATTTCTTTGTGTTAGATATGGAGGAAGATAAAGAGATACCTATCATTTTGGGGAGACATTTCCTAGCCACAGGAAGAGCAATGATAGACGTGCAGAAAAGGGAATTAACAATGCACAAACTGTTACTTTCAATATTTCAAGATCAATGAAAAACCCTGTAAAAGGTAAAGATGATGAATGTTATAGGATGGATGTTTAAGATATCTAAGTAAATGTCATTTCAAAATAACTTATGAAGAAAAATCTAACATGAAAGAGTTGGAACACAAGAAAGAAGTGGATTTAGAGCAATTTAAAGATTTATATAGGAAAAATTCAAATTATTTTCAAGAAAGTTTTGAAGTTCTGGACATGAAAGAAAAGTTAAGTCTTTTTGTCCATCAATTGAAAAATCACCTGAAATTGAATTGATGTTACTTCTTGAATATTTATAATCTTCCTTTTTAGCTGATTCCTCAACATTGCCAGTTAAAATTTCCTCAAATTTAACTACAGCAGAATAAGAGAGTTTACTAAAATCTTTGAAGAAATATAATAATTTCTGATATTAAAGAATCAGTCCTTCAATTTGTATGCATAAAATTCATATGGAATAGAACTGCAAACCCAGGGCTGATCCTCAAAGGAGACTGAATCCTGTTATGAAAGAAGTTGTTAAGAAAGAAATTTTAAAGTGGTTAGATGCTAGAATTATCTACCCTATTTCTGATAGTGCATGAGTTATTCCAATTTACAGTGTTCCTAAGAAAGGAGGAGTAACTGTAACTTTGAATAAAAATAATGAATTAATACATAGTAGATAAGTTACAGGTAGGGGTGTAAACAAACCAAACACAAATGAACGGTGCTCGTGTTTGTGTTTTTTTGTTTGAAATATAGTTTGTTTGACATAGGCTAGTGTTCAAAATTGTTCGTGAAGGGCATGTTCGTGTTCGGTTTGATTTGTTTGAAATTAGTTTGAATTGTTCAAATTATTCAAATCGTTCGAATCATTCAAATTCAAATTGTTCGAAATGTTTGAAATGTTTGAAATATTTGAAAATTTTCAAATTTGTATATATTTTTTCAATTGTTAAATAGATAAAAATTTAAATATTAATTCTCATATCTTTTAAAAATTGAAATACAGAATGTTAAATAGATAAAAATTTAAATATTAATTCTCATATCTTTTAAAAATTGAAATACATCTTCATAAAAAATATAAGAATTATTATTTAATTCTCAAACTACCAAAAACAATAGATAACAAACTTCAACAAAAATATTTCTTCATAATTAGTCATTACATCCAATTATTCAAGCAAATAATATCTTACATAAAAAGATAAGAAAAGAAAACTTGACGATTCAGTAGATAATATAAACACCAACCTATAAAACTTGAAGTTTCCAATATAGAGTGCCCACAATCTCTTTTTTGAGTAAAAATTTGGTCTTATATTTAAATTGTGTAAAGAGTTCAACAGAAATTGACGTATAGTTGCCTTGGTATAACACATTTCCAGATCAACGACAGCTCTCTCTTGCCGTCCTGCAAAGTCTTTGCTCTTAGGAAACAAAATACTATGGATATAATCTTACGGTCAACCTGTTAGAAGAAAAGGAGTAAAACACAATGTATGTAGTCAACTTGAACAAAATATAGAACTCTAGAAGTTACGACATATGTTTTCTTAAAAGAAATTATAAATTTAATAAGTGTCAATGATCCTGCATATATGTTTTCAAAAGAAAAAATATCAAAGAAACTTAAATGCTAACACACAATTCTTATGTTTTTACATATCTAACATCTAAAGTTTTATATTTATATTTGTAGCACTTTGGTATTAAAAATATATGAATCAAAAGGTGTATTTATCTTTTAAAACTAGCTATTTCTCAGAACCATCATAATGAAACATTATATGATACTTCAACTCCGTTAGAATTTGATTTAACATCTATAAAATACTCCCACACAGCTGATTTTCTCTTCATGCCTTTCGTACCTTGCATTCCAGTACTAGTGCTTCCAATTGTCAGTTCAATAGGTTGAGAACTATCAATTCCTTCTTGTATTGCAAGTGGCAATTGTTCGTCATTTGACATTGTAAGTATCTATACAAAAAAATATAATATTAAATGATATGTAGGCAAAAAAAAAATGCAGGCAAACAAAAATGTGCAGATACTTGGAGTAGTGGGATTGCAAAAAAAGCCTTAAAAACCAAAAAGCAGCAGAATTCTTCTCCGCTAATATGACTGAAATTAACAACACAAAGGAGCTTAATTTGCTAAAACAAAAGCTCTCAACTTTAGAACTCCATGATTCCTCATTCCTTAGAGTTTAATTTGCTGAAATAAAAGCCAAAACATCACTTTAAAGGCTCCAAACATCAAGTATAAAGCACCGAAACAACACTTTAAGGGCTCTAAACACCAGCATTTAACCGCCCCCAAAATCAACCCTTTTAAGGGCTCCAAATCGCCAGTCTAAAAAACCAAAACAGCACTTTAAGGGCTCCAAATAGCAAGTATAAAGAGCCAAAACATCACTTTAAAGGCTCCAAACAACAAGTATAATAGGGCCAAAATGATGTTTTTAATGTCTCTAAAACAGTGCTCAAAATAGCCCTAAAATGATGCTTTTAATGTCTCCAAAATAGTGCTCAAAACTGCCCTAAAATGATGTTTTTAATTTCTGTAAAACAGTGCACAAAAAAACCCTAAAATGATGTTTTTAGTGTCTCCAAAACAGTGCTCAAAATAACCCTAAAATAATGTTTTTAATGTCTCCAAAACAGCCCATATGTAGACAATATAACCATTGTATGGTTCCATATATGTAAATATACTAATAATATATCATATATCAGCTAAAACATTTCTATAATGTCTCCAATGGCCTATACACTAGCCAATCAATTAAAGAATTGATCCTTTACTTCCATTCATATATCATATAGCTGCTAAACTATTTGTGTAATAAATAGTATTTTAAATGAGTATAGTTTTTATCATGCATGACATCCATGTATGTGCATTGCCACAAATTAGCTTTCATGTCAATATATGCATCATTTCTTACCAGTGAACATGTCTTCTCATTCTAAATGCAAGCACATGTGTCATTAAGCTTTTAAAACATTTAATATAAATCAATTGATATAATTTGTAAATAGCTAGAGATATGTTTGTCTGAATTAATGCATGCATAATTACAGTGGTATCCATGAAATTCCTACTTTAATTTATTGATAAAACATCAGGATGCACACTCCACTCATTTTAATTATATATTCCAAGCTTCGAAATTGCAGCCTTGCATGCATTAATATAGTTTATTCAGCTAAGCAGTGCATTAAGCACATCGACTAGTAATATAAGCAGATAGATCCCTGCATCATCTAAAAAGTATTGCTTTCTATGAAAGAAACATCCCATAAAGAGAATCTAATCATCACTCCATCTCCATATATCTATCTTTCAACATTTAAAATAGTAAAATTGACCCTTTATTGTGTAAACTTAGTACAAATCATGTCTACTTTAGAAAACATAAGAATTTGCAATTACTGCTGATTACCAGAAGTAACACATAAAATTTGTTCAGGATCTGCTCGTAAATAATTACGGACAAAGGAGGCCCAAAAAAAGACTCATTTGCAATTACTACTGATTACCAGAAGTAACTATACCACGGGTGAAGCAACAAATAAGTCAAGGATATTTCCAAATGCTCCAAAAACAGACTCATTAAAATTAAAAAAAAAATTAAATTTCACTTCAACTGCATATTAAAATAGAGCAGCTATAGTTCTTCTCCCTTCCATCAAAGTAATATATATAATGCAAACTCTATGTAAATAAAAAGGAATAATGTTAGCTTTATTTGCATATATACAGATCTAAGACCTGTAACATAAAATGACAAAAAACTTTTAGCTACGTATAGATGGCCAAAAACCCTTGTCATTCACTTGAAATTTATTTTTAAACCCCCTTGCATTAAGAGCGAAGAAAGGTTACTCTGTCTTTGTGCAACAACCAACGTTCTCACTCCCAAAAGCTTCAAAAACTAGGTTTCAGTAAACAAAAACTAAAAGAAATGAGAGGAAAATCTAAAAATAAATAAGAAATAACAAAGAAAATATACTCCAAGATGACACCTCAATAGCCTTACAACCAACCAAGAAAGGATATCAAACAACCAAGCAAATGAACAATAATACCGAGCAGGCAAGCAGCAAGCAAGCAAACCAACGTATGCTCGAAGATAGATAGGAGTAGATATTAGAGAACGTACATAAAAGACAAACCCTAAACTCTCATAGTTAGGGCAAAAAGCTTTCATGATTTTGAGAGGAGAAGGAGAAGGCTTCTGAAGAAGGGAGGCGCGGCCGAATTCAGAAGTGCGAGATGCGTTTTTAGAATTAGGGCTTTAGGGTTTTTTTAATATATGTTGTATTATATTAATTATAATATTTATATTAATATAATTAATAGTAATATATTATTAATGTTATTAATATTTATTATATATTATAATTTATAGAATTTAATTTTTTAAAATATGATAAATTTTTAGAGTACATAATTTTTAAAATATGATAAATTTTTTATATATAATTATTTAAACTATTTTATATTTTGAATAATAACGATTCGAACACGATCAAACAAATGAATGTTCGTGTTTGAACCAAACACGAACGAATACATCATTGTTCATGTTTGGTTCGTTTAACAAACCGAACAAAAAAAAATGTTCGTGTTCGATTCGGTTACTTTTCGAACGAACTGAACATGAACTCCCTGACGAACCGAACACGAACTGTTTGCAAACAACGAGCTATTTTGACAGCTCTAGTTACAAGGTGGCGAATATGCATTGATTATAGAAAATTAAATCTTACCACTATGAAAGATCATTTTCCATTACCCTTTATAGATCAAATGCTGGATAGACTAGCTGGGCATAAATACTTTTATTTTCTGGATGGATATACTGGTTATCACCAAATCTCCTGAGGATCAAGAGAAAACAACTTTTACCAGTCCTTATGGTACTTTTGCTTTTAGAAGGATGCCCTTTGGTTTATGTAATGCCCCTGCTACATTTCAAAGATGTATGATGACAATTTTTTGTGATATAATTGAAAAGGGGATTGAAGTATTCATGGATGATTTTTCAGTATTTGGAACTTCATTTCACTCATGTTTAGAACATTTATCTAAAATTCTTAAGAGCTGTGAAGAAACAAATTTAGTCCTTAATTGGGAAAAATGCCAATTTATGGTAGCAAGTGGAATTGTATTAGGTCATCAAATATCAGAAAATGGTATGGAAGTAGATCCTGCTAAAATTCAAGTGATCGCTAATTTATCTTATCCAACAAATGTAAGGGAAATTAGGAGTTTGTAGGACATGCTGGAATCTACAAACGATATATTAAAGACTTTTCAAAGATACAGTGCATAGAAAATCATTGGTTAATCTTAGGTTTAGTCACTAAATCCGTGGCTAGGCTAGGAGGATACCGGTTCCCATTTCCCTTCACCTGAAGGCTAACTCTTGTTTTAGTTTTTAAACACTAAGACCAAATTGGAGATTTTAGTCTGTCACTCTAAAGATTCTCCAATTCCACACCCAACAAAGAATATTTCCCTATTTATTTGCACTTAATTTCATGAATGAATTTCTCCTTCATGAAATCAAATGTGATCCTCACTCTGTTGTAGAACACACTCAATTTCCCGGATTATATGTTTCACAACATATTTTAACAAATCAATTGGCCAGATTGAAAAGTAAATTAAGTTCGGAGTTGAAAAATCATCACAATTTATTTTATATTTTAATTATGGCACATTCATATTATCTCTTCATTTCTCCAAATCTCAGAGTAGGGGAAAAGATAGAGGAAACTACTCAAACTTCATGAGAAATATACAAAAAAACACAAATTTCATACATAAAAGAAAGTTCAAACAAGACTAAATAAACAAACAAACTTATCTGGAACTCTTTCTTAAAGCAAATCCTTTGTAGCATTTCCTTAGAAATGCAAGAAGAAGAACTCTCTCACTTTTCTCCTTCTCCAAAGCTCTTACAGAAAGTTTCACACTAAATCTCACTACAAAAACTCTAAACTATGAAAGCAAAATTACTAATTAACTCCAATATGTAATGAAATGAAGATGGATTATGGAAATGTAGCGTGGTGGAATGTTGTATAGCAAAAAATGAACGTAGAGGAGCTATTTTCTGATGAAATTCAGCCCCAAATAAAGCCCAAGGTCGGTTCTCCAAGAGGTGCCTCCAAAAACTCTTAAAAAATCGTCCAAATACATCAGACATTCTAGAAACGAGGTCTGAACCGCCGCTGGCGCTAGTCTAGCGTTGAGAAAAAATCCTCCAGCTTTCGGTTGTTTTGTGCCGTCGGCGCTGACCTTGACACTGCCAGCGCTGAGTATTTCCTCAAAAACGTCATTTTGATTCCATATTTCACCCTTTTTTCTTTAAGCCCTAAAAATCAACAACCTGCAAGAAAAAATCAAAATACCTTCCATTAAAGTGTAATATCACCAAAAATAAGTATAAAATATGGGTCTAAAAATGCATATATTTTTAGTGTATCAAAATTCCCCAAACTTACATGTTACTTGTCCTCAAGTAACTTCTCTACTAGATAAAAATATGACTTATGGTAAAGAATTTAACTTTTCGACTTCCATATTTTAGTTCTCTAAATATAATAGTTTAACTTAAGAAAAATTCAAAACAACTCTAGTTAATACTAAAGGTGTAAGAATATTCAGTAATTAAGTCTAAGGTTTCTGATCTTCTATTCTTTTAAAAAAAAATTGCAATTTGTTATATTAAAGTCACTTAGGAAATTCATATGAAAAAAAACTTCATAAAACTTTATTAATAATTAAGTTAATATTCAAATCAAAAGCTTAGAAAAATGTGTCCAGGTCTCTGTCGCTAGGGTCACTTGAAGTAGGCTCACTAAAAGTAGCGCTTCTAGAAGTAAAAGGAATATCCTTAGCCTATCTTCCAGATCTCCAATCAACATGGGACTCATAAGTCTTGATGTTGGCAGGCCCAATTATTCTCTAAGGCTCAATCCTCTCCTCATCAGGTCTGAAATCAACTCCTGCATGCTCACAAAGTGTGTAAATGAGAGCAGGGTGCACCAATCCACCGGTGGTCTCTCCCAGAGCAATAGATCGAATGTTCATATAAATGATAGAGCCTACATTTATATCCATCACTTGCTAAATACAGTAGTTAAGGATGGTTCTATCCTTGGTTACTTCACTATGATGGTTCGTTGGAATCATCCTTCTAGAAAAAAAATATTGCCAAGCCTTAGACACTACATTTAACATAGAAAGGGCAAAGTTAACTTTAACTCCATTTTTTTTTCCAAAACCCTTTCTCACTAGTTAGAAAAGAAATAACTTCATCTAAGGTTTGATCTGTAGTAGAAAACAAATGATACTGGCATCTATAAACATCTTCTAATTGATAAAACTCATTAATTTTTCTTGGAGTAAACTCCACCCTTTTTCCTCGGACAAAAACAAAATCATCAGAAACCTCAAGAAGGTTGGCATAAAATTCCATCACAATCCCAACTATTGCATCAATAGTAAAATAGTAGAAGTTTTCCCACTGCCGAGCGATAATCAATCGTTCAACTTCTCCTCCCGGAATTTTAAAACCTCGGTCCTGAATCACTTTTTTATTTTCTTGAAGACTATGAAATTGAGCACTGGCTCTAAATAAAATAAAACTTTGCATGTCATATTCTATTTTCATTTTGCTCGATCTAGGTGCCATAGGAAATCTAGAAAAAAATGATAAAAATTCCGAATAAAGCCCAAAATTCTGAAATAAAAAATGCAAACCACTTTAAACTCAAATCCACTAATTAAGTGTTTTTCACCAAAGCATTTTCTCAATATCTCCCAAAAAATTTCAAAATTTTGGATCTAGTCAATGTGAGAAAAATCTTTGGTGAAAATAAAAAATTTTTACTTTAAAGTGTAGCTCTTACCTAGAGAAGATAAAATCAAAGTTCCTTTGCCTCAAAATCACCTCAAATCCGCCCAAAATCAAGCCCTAGGTGCAAAACTGATGGTTGAAGGTGACTTAAGTGGTAAAAATGGAGGTTTACGGTGAAAATTTCAAATTAAAGGGTTAATTCATCGCTCTCGGATCGAAGGCGCCATCAACGCCAATGCCAGTGCCGTCCGCGCCAATGTCAGTGTCGTTGGCGCTGAAGGACAGAAATTCACTATTTTGATTTTTCAAATTTTCAATTTCCTTTCAATTTTCTCCAAAGTTTTTTTTAAGTATGTTTAAACACAATTTTTATCTAAATTCATAAATACACATTTCACAAATAATCAGTTTCACAAACAACAAGAAACTAACTTTTATATATGAAAATACACTTTTTACAAACACATTTCACAAATCACAAATTCACACCTATGAAGTAAACTAATTATAAATCAGCATCGAAATCAAGCTACAACACTAAACACTGATACAAAACTATACACATAATGAAAGTTCAGAATAAACTAAATCAAACCTAATCAAATCCACACAATTACACTAAACACGTAAAAATTTTTAAACAAGTTGAGAATTCACAATCTTCAATCATTCAACCTCATCTTTAGTGCTATCACCTCCTCTAATATCTCCCATAGATTGGTAATGAACATATAGGTTGTAGAAGGATCAGTACGAGAATTGATCTATCAAATTTTTGTTGATCCACCCCTTTTCCTTAAACATCCAAACTAATCCTGCTTCAAAAGTTCCAGTGTGATCAAAATTCTCTTTTATTCTCCAATCTAGGTGATCAAAAAGATACTTGAGATCTCCCACTGCATTCATAATACTCTGAAGTTCTCTTCCAATTTTCTTCAATTTCATCTCTAAAGCAAGCGAACTTCCAACAATTGGTAGCATTAATGGAGATGAAGCATATGAAGAATGATCTATTATAGCATTTAGTGCTTCATTTTCATTACCAACATACTGATCATCAATAGGGATCATGGGCTCCCATGGTAGTAAAACTTTTCCCAACTTTTATATAGCACTTGGGATTGACTACAAATCAGAAATATTATAGAAGGATGCCCAAGTCCATAAATTTTCCCATTCATAATGATTCCCATCACAGATTTAAATATAATTGAACCTGTATCAATACGTTTTTTTATTTGAATACAGTAGTTTAAAATAGCACTCTCCTTGGTGACTCAACTGATCTTCATAGTAGGGAGTAATTTTGCACAAATAAAGAAATGTCATTGCTTCAAAATTGGATTAAGTGATGAAGCAGGAAAACTAATATATCCTTCATCTTGTAATTCCCACA